TTTCCTCCAGGTCTTGGTTCCTCCCACCCCCAAAAGACTTGTTGTGGGGAAAAATTGTTCCTTCTAAATTGGGCCCTATTAAATATGTATGAATGTGAGTTAGGATTTTTAGATTGTAACCCCTTAGGGTTAGGGTTGATGTGAATTAAAATAATACTTAAAAAAACGCTGTGTAAATTGAAGCGCTTAAAGTGTAAATAAACAAATATCAAGTGCCCCTTCATTACATTTAAAACCTTTTACTTTGTATTCCCCTTCACATCCAGTGCCCCATTATTTTTCCCGTCCTTTATAACAAAAGCCCCCCCTTTATAACACGCACCCCTTTTATAAAAAAGCCCCTTTCACATCAAGTCCCCATTATATACAGTCCCCCTTTAAATGAAAGCCCCCCCCCAAGTTCTATTCAGCAAGGAAAGGAAAAAATTTTATCTGCTTGGAAAATCCTCTCCTGGGTGTCCCCCTATCACCCACAGCGGGCCCGGGGGCAAAGGGCGCAGATTACCGCTTGTTAGTTTGAAAAGACTCTCCCTCTCTGTGCAGATCTGCAGCACCTCCCACCCCTGCCCTACCCCTACTGTAAGGATGAAAACAGTGGCCAGGTAGGGGACCCGGGAGAAGACATCCCAGCTGCTAAATGGCCCAGACAGGACTGTCGCTTGGTCTGGGTCCGGACCATGGTCCGCCATTTAGTGATCTCTAAATTAGATATTATGTATCATTTGCTAGTTTTCACTAAGATGCACCTGCTGCATCTCCTGGTACCCAGCCCCTGAGCCCACACATCATCCACTCCATCCAGGGAGGATTTAGCACTGTCCATACTGTAACTCTGGCAACCAATGTTGAAGCCCTAATGAAGGAGGATGCTTTGGCTCAAAACGTGTTTGTAACTGGTTTGTTACTGGTTATAGCGCTGATGCTATTTGAGCACCAAAATAATATAATGAATTAATTCTATTTATTTTACATGATCTAGGCCAATGAAGATTCCTTGCAATCTGTTTTCTTCCAATGCAACTTTTACCCATGTGACAGAATTCATCCTTTTTGGATTCCCGAACTTCCAGAATTTCAACAATTTACTATCTTGTGCATTGTTTTGTATCTACTTCTTCACCCTCTCTGGCAATGGCTTTATATTCTTCTTGGTCATCTTTGACCGGCATCTCCATACCCCAATGTATTTCTTTGTCAGCAATTTGTCCTTTATAGATATGACTTACACTTCAGTAACCATCCCGAAGATGTTGGCCAAGTTCCTGATGAACCTGAATACCATTCACTTCACCGCCTGCTTTGTACAGATGTTATATTTTTTTGTCTTTGGGGAGCAACAGAGTGTATTCTCCTGGCCGTAATGGCCTACGATCGCTACATAGCTATATGCTCACCCTTACACTACCAAACCATCATGACAAGACAACTTTACATAATACTGGCAATGGCAGCCTGGTGTGGAGGCTTTGCTGCTCCAATCACAAACACCCTTCTTGCCTTAAAGTTACCTTACTGTGGCCCCAACATACTCTACACTTACTACTGTGATTGTGCTCCACTGCTCAGTTTGGCTTGTGCTGACCTATCCTTCCAGATGTCAGTTGGGGCTTTCTGTGGTGCCGTTGTCATTTTGTCAAGCTTTTCTGTAATTCTTATATCTTACACTAAGATTATTTTAGCAATCCTCAGAATCAGTTCCAAAGGAGGCCGGAAGAAAACCTTTTCTACCTGCGCCTCTCACTTTACAGTTGTCAGTATATATTTCTTGCCGATTATGTTTGTGTACATTCGTCCAACAGCCTCCTACTCATCTGATGGGGACACTTTGGTGGCCATGTTATATACAGTATTAACTCCCATGATGAATCCCATAATATACAGCATGAGAAACAAAGACATTAAAATTGCTTTCCAGAGGAAAAAATAGGCTTCATCTGTACCAGAAGTAGTTTGGCCACAGAATAGAACGCATGTGATTATTGAATAAAGCCATTTCTTAACTTGGATGTATGTCCTTTAGAAGATGAATTAAATGGACATTCTATAACAGTTTTGGCTCAACTTGTTTTTAATTTTATACAGTTTTAGACTGATTTTTTTTACTATATATGCATTATTTGCAATGGTTTAAGAGCTTCTGGCGCTGCTCAAGGCTGTGAATTATATTCACCCTGCTGGCAGAAACGAGAGAAGGGAGCAGCATCCTGAGTTACTCCAGAGACTTGGCCGTGTGTAAGGGGGTGAACGACGCTGAAACAGTTTCCAGAAGTCAGGCAACAACACTGTGTGATGGATGGCCTAAGCTGTCGCTCCAGCCATGCCCACTTACGCGTTCCGTCCACCCATGGGGGGCTTCGTCATAAAGCTTCTGTGACCAAGCCTCCTATGGGCGGTGTGAAACGCATCAGAAGGCATGGCCGGAATTGTGGCTGAGCCCATCCATCACACGGTGTCATTGCCTGACTCCTGGGGATTGGTATATATACATTATTATTGTGAAATGGGGGATGTTTAGCTTTCCTGGAAGATGCATTTTTGAAGTGAGTTCATATCAGTCTGAACTATGTTTAACCACTTGCCCTCCTGAGGATTTACCCCCTTCCTGACCAGGCCTTTTTTTGTTATTCAGCACTGCACTTTTCAGCTGGTAATTGTGCGGTCATTCAATGCTGTACCTTTTTTTTACACAAATAGAGCTTTCTTTCAGTGGTGTTTGATCACCTGTGCGCTTTTTATTTTTTGCGCTATAAACAAAAAAAAAAAAATTTGAAAAAAAACCCAATATTTTTTACTTTTGGCTATAAAAAATATATAGCAAACTCAAAATTAGTCATACATTTAGGCCAAAATGTATTCTGCTACATGTCTTTGGTAAAAAAATATCCCAATAAGTGTATATTGATTGCTTTGTGTGAAAGTTATAGCGTCTACAAACTATGGTATAGTTACTGCAATTTACACCATTTTTTTGCTACTCGGCGCTGCACTTGTTTAACTGACAATTGCACGGTCATGCAAAGCTGTACCCAAACGAAATTTATGTCCTTTTTTTCACACAAATAGAGTTTTTCTTTCAGTGGTATTTGATTGCCTGTGCACTTTTTATTTTTTGTGCTATATACAAAAAAATACTGAAAATATTGAAAAAAAAACCCAATATTTTTACTTTGGCTATAAAAAATATATAGTAAACTCAAAGTTACTTATACATTTAGGCCAAAATGTATTCTGCTACATGTCTTTGGTAAAAAAATCCCAATCAGTGTATATTGATTGCTTTGTGGGAAAGTTATAGCGTCTACAAACTATAGTATAGATACTGCAATTTAAGCCATTTTTTGCTATACAGCGCTGCACTAGTTTAACTGACAATTGCGCGGTCATTCAAAGCTGTACCCAGATTAAATTTTTGTCCTTTCTTTCACACAAATAGAGCTTTCTTTTGGTGGTATTTGATCACCTGTGTGCTTTTTATTTTTTGCGCTATAAATAAAAAAAAAATAAAAATTTAAATTTTCTCAATTCTGTCATAAAAAAAATCCCAAAAAATCAAATTTTGTCATAAATTTAAGTTAATATGTATTCTGCTACATGTCTTTGGTAAAAAAAAATCCCAATAAGTGTATATATTTATTGCTTTGTGTGAAAGTTATAACTATTGGTATAGATACAGCAATTTACACAGCTTTTACTTTCTGACTGCCTATCACATTTCTTGAGCTGCAAAAATATCAAGATAGTACAAACACCCCCAAATGACCTCTTTTCAGAAGGTAGACACCCTAAGCTATCTGCTGAGAGGCATATTGAGTCCATGGAAGATTTATTTTCTTTTCCACAAGTTTTTGGAAAATTACAAAAACTTTTTTTTTGCACAAATTTGTCACTTAAATGATATATTGCTCACACAAGCCATGGGTATATGTGGAATTACACCCCAAAATACATTCTGATACTTCTACTAAGTATGGGGACACCACATGTGTGAGACTTTTTGGGAGCCTATCCACATACAGGAGCCTGAAATCCAATGACCCCTTTGAAAGCCTGAAGGTGCGTAAATTCCTTATTTCATTTCCTCACTACCTATCACAGTTTTGGAGGCCCTGAAATGCCAGGAGAGCACCAAAATCCCCCCCAAATGACCCCTTTTTGCAAAGTAGACACCCCAAGGAATTTGATAAGAAGCATGGGGAGGATTTTGCAGATCTCGTTTGTCGCCACACGTTTTTGGAAAATAAAGGGGTCATTTGGGGGGGGGGGGAGGTTTGGTGCTACCCTGGCATTTCAGGGCCTCCAAAACTGTGATAGGTAGTGTAATGAGGAAATCCCTTTAAAAGCCTGAAGGTACTTATTGGATTTTGGGGTCCTGTACTTGGCTAAACTGCCAAAATGTCTCTCACATGTGGTACCCCCATACTCGAGAGAAGTAGCAGAATGTATTTTGGGGAGTAATTCCACATATACCCATGGCATGTGAGCAATAAATTATTTAAGTGACGATTGTGTGTAAAAAAAAATATTTTTGTCATTTTCCAAAAACTTGTGGTGAAAAAAATAAATTCTTCTATTGACTCAACATGCCTCTCAGAAAATAGTTTGGGGTGTTTACTTTCCAAAAAGGCATCATTTTGGCGGGATGGGGGGCAATAGAAGTTTATGCCACACATCACCCACTCTTCCAACCAAGCCTTTTCTGACCCTTTTGGTTCACATGGAAAAAAATCAGTATTGTTTGCTAGGAAATTACTTTGAACCCCCAAACATTATATATATTTAAAGCAGACACCCTAGTGAATAAATATATATATATAAGGGGTATAAGTGAGCGCAAAGGTAGCACAGCTGCTGGCATTAAAGGTAAAACCTTTTAACCTCTAAACAGTCATATAAATACAAATGCAGCGCTTGAGATAGCAATATTGTAGTACTAATGTGGGCGCTAAAAAGCGCTAAAAATGATTAGAATTTAAATGGTGAACCGTCATAAAATAACGCATGTGCTTGATATAAGCAACAATAACAAAGTGACTGAAGTGCGTTATAAATAAACAGGGTAAGAAAGTCCAAAATTCAAGGTAATCCGTGATTCGTGCTGGTGATCTCCGTGATGTAGACCAATAATGTGAATGCACTCACCAGAAGCGCAGAAAATATGCGCATATGTATATCTTATCCCAGTGTGGTCATCAGGGTGTAGGCGAGGTTGGTGGAATCATTTGGCACACCATAAGCACACAAACTAACTACAATCTCACTCACAGGACACTCTCAGCTTCCAGGGACAACTCCAGGTAAGCCTCAGACCACCGGATCAATTTCCACATAGAACTAAGGATTTCTCCTCCTTGGGGGCTCGTATACACCAAGTCAAAGTCAAATGAAGTACTAATAGTGTAGTATTTTATTAATTGGAAAGGATTAATATATTGAAAAAGTCAGCATTCACATGAAGACAAGTAAAGATGGCCACCGGCCCTCCATGCAGCCGTCTGCGGCGTGACGTCACTATTGCAGGCTCCTCCATGCAATCGGCCGCATGGAAGGCCAGTGGGGGGGGGGGGGGGGGGGTAGAGGGTGCTTTTTTTTAAGTTAACTTGATTTTTTACATTATTTTTACACTGTCCCTTTAATATCCCCTATAACTTCAATGGGCATTTTCATATATTCTTTTTTGAGAAATCTGGGGTCTATCAGATTCTAGATATCTCCTCTGCCCTTGCATTATCTATGTGCCAAACTGGCCATCCCAGGCCCCCATGCTTCAGCATATATGCTATTTTTTTTAACTGCGGATGAAAAATATAATCCAACAGTGCTGCACACACCTATTTATGTATATTCCAAGAGCAAGACCCTGTTGCTGTCAGAATAAACAAGTTGTGCTGCAGCTGAATGACATTTCTGCAAAGAAAACAGCAATTGTTAACAATAAAACAGTAAAATCGTAACAGTAGAATAGTAGTAATTTATTTTTGGACTTGAACTTTTTATTTTTATTTATTTTTAAACTTTAACTTTTTAAAACAGATTATAGGGTCTCTCAAAATGCAATAGCCAATTTCCTGACTACCTAACATCTTTCGAGACCCTGTGTATATATGTGCCTTAGACTGTGTCGTGCTGTACCCTATACTAATACTCCACTAGTGTATGGTAGCGACAAAAGCAGTCCTTGAGGCATAGACTAGGTTGGCCAGGACATGAGGGACAAAAAAAGCGGGTGTCATGCCTATATCCATGTCTGCTACAGACACAACATCTTTTTTGGGGTGTCCTTTGGGTTGGGGTACCAGGAATGGCATCGGGAAAATGTCTCTCATGCAGCCGGCTAACTGAATCTGGGTTGGGGGTATGGGCCACAGCACCTTCTGGATACAAAAGGGTCGTGATGATCTCTTCCTGGAATTTTAGGAAGGATCCACTTTGTCCAGTTGCTTTGTAAAGCACAAAAGCATTATATAGAGTCAACTGAAATGAATAAACATACACGTTTTTGTACCAGTGTCTGGCTTATGGGGAAACTAAGTATGGCTTCATCACCTGGTCGTTGAAGTCCACCCCTCCCATGTTAAGGTTATAGTCGTGGACACAGAGGGGCTTCTCAACAACACCAGCTGCCGTGGCAATTTGGAAGGTCATGTCTGAGTGAATGGAAGACAGGACGAAAGCATCCTGTTTGTCCTTCCACTTCACTGTAAGCAATTCATCAATTCATCATTCCTCAAGCCCTTTCCCTCTTTCTAAGTCGGTTATTTGCAAGCCGTTGGAGGAAGCCTCGGTGATTAGGTCGCACGGTGCCACATGCGCCAATTCCAAGATAGTACAAATGTCTAAATAGTGGCACGCTTTAATAAAAGCTGTCCACGTGTAAGTGGTACCCCATGTGGAAAAATGAGGACACCAAGTCCCAAACTATCTTGCCAC